AGCTGTAGTCTTAATCCACGTGGAGTTTCAAGTGAAACTTCGCAAAGACAAAACCAACAGAGGGACTTTGTGCTGTCTTTGAATTCAAACCCATATGTAGAGGAAGCTAGCGAAGAAAACCAGCAAACAAATGAATATTTATCGTTAAACATCATTTAATGACATTAGAATAATTCTTGTGCCGTAGTTCATTCAATATTCAAGAGCACGCTCTATGTACGAACAAATTAAAAAAACCGAGACAAGCTGTAGATAAAGGAGTTGACATTACAGGAATATCAACAGTCTCGATTTAAGTAAGCATTTTGCAAATCCTAAAATCGATACAATGACCTCATCAGCAAATACAATGTATCGTTAAATGGACTGACAACGTTTTTCATACAAATTATAATTTGCTTTTTTTCACGCTTTTCCGCGATATTCACTTCATACTAATTAGCTCATGACGTACGTGTTTGACCTGTGGATAGGGGATGCTTACTCATTCATGGCACCTGATCCCACCTCCGATGTTTTTGGAGTTTTGTATTTGATCTGCTCCCGATATATATTATTAAAATGTACTTTGAGCTTAAAATTGATTACAGTTCTCAGATTGGAATAAAATAAATTAAATGTGATAACATTTTGTTGAGTATTACTTTGTACATGTAAATATGAATTAAACTTTCTCTTGCACATATATGAAATAGGTATTTTTTCATAAGTGTGTACATTGCAAACTGTGGAGAAGTATTATTTGTCATCATGTGATTATGATTGATCTTTCAAATATCGATAAAGTTAGCGAATTCACATTGTCGCTAGTGTCACTTAACTTATTTTGAATGATTTAGTATAAAAGTACTTATACATTGTATTTAGAATATTTTTTTTAAAAAGAGAGAGAATAATTGATGTTCATAAGTACATGAATTCTTAGAAATTAAACCCTAAAATTATCATTAATTTACGAGCACTTTTAAATATTACAAATAAAAATATATCATGATATCTTTTCAAGGAAATTGAAATGTCATTTCCAAAAATTCCAGAGTAATTAATTGCCTATTTTTTGATCAAGGGTCAGTTTTATACCACATAATTTCCGCCCTTAGATTATTTTTCTCTCAAGTGCATTTCTAATGAAAAAAATCTGATTGTTTTGTAGCAAATTAAACTGTGCAATAAAAATTTTATCCTTAGCTTAACTGATCAAGTTCAAAAAGGCAATGAATTATTTTCTTCCTCCTCAGCGTGACCCAAAAAACACTCATCAAATATTTATCATTATAGAAATCAATGCATATTTTTGGGCATCATATCTAATACATGTATTACATAACTTAATATCATGGACTATCAACAAGTGTTGATCAATTATTGAAGATGTTTCAGATTATCCTGTTTATAATTGAAAGATCGAAGTGTTTTGTGTAATAAATGATTTCCTGTACTCATGATAAAGTGAGAAACATCCAATTCACAGAAAAAATCTATTCTCTCTGGAAACATTATGTCTATGGTCCCAATTTAACCCTTTAGTCTACATCCAACCAACCTGTGCATTAATTAAAACAAAATTACTTTCGGACTATTTTCATTAGATTATTACTCCATATAGTTATTTTAAATATTTTTAGCACGCAACTAATAGGGTTATTGCCACTTTAAAAACTAATGGTTAAGGACCGAGATGAAATAGATAGTATTGTTGTATTCAAATAATACTTTTTTGATGATGGTTATATTGTTGCAATAGGAGGACTGTCCCTCGACGCTATTTGATTGTCTGACCCTTTCTTTACATTGCATACTGATGGGTGGCGGTGCAGTCAGAATACTGGGTATAGTGATTGCCTTTCCCATTTCCGATGAGTGCTGTCCAAGAGAAAAAATAGTTTTAATACTCATCAAAAATTCCTTTCGTCAAAGCCCCTGGAATTTTCTTTCTTCTCTAGTTTTAAGTAATGAGTTTGTGTGTTTAGAAATTATGAGGAAATTTGACAGAACTTGTTGTTTTTCAAGCTTGCTTGCCTTATGAGTAAATTACTCGTAGGAACAAAAGTTGGAAAGCTAGATTATTTTATTCAGAAGAAACTGCAAAGCACAAAAAGAAATTTATTAATGCATTTTAAATGATACAATACAAATTTCTTTTTAGTAACAACAAAGATCATAAAGCATTTTCTTCTTTACATAAATTGATTTTTTCATGATTTAATCCTTCAAACATTCAAATACAATAATTTAAAAAAGATTACACATATACAATGTAAATAACAAAAAAATGGAGTTAAATAATTTTGTATAGAAAAATCATAAGCGTGTAATCAGGGAATACAGCTCCAATTTAAACCTCAGTTCAGATTTCCAAGTCAATAATACAGCTTGTGGACCTTTTTAGAACTCGTGTGACATGGTTGTATGGTAACTTGTGGAAGGTAGTTTCTAAATTTAAGTGTGCAATTAATATAATTCTTGCATAATGTTAAGAGACACAGTTTAAAGCAATATGAGTTGCATTTTGAGAATTTTATTTTGCTGGTAAAATGTGTTATTATGATTAATTTGTATGTAGTTTAAACCCTTATGACCAATAAGCCCAAAATAAAGCTTAAAAATGTTTCAGAAGAAATATTTCTGTACAACCGAATATACAGTTTTATACAAGAAAGCATTATTGTACAGGACGACAATAATTCAATTTTGCTTCAAAGCTAATAAAAAAAAATCCATCGCAAATATGATTAACAGAAGTTCATAAATGTTTTATTTTTCTGTCATTGAAATAGTTAAAGACAAATTTGCAGCAAAATTTTCCGATGTCAAACATGCAGCTCATATTGCTTTAAAGTCTACTCATCTATAGAAACGTGGGAGTATTTAAGTTCAGAATCAGTGAAAAATTTAATTTGAAGGTAAATAACAGATATAATGTAAATCTACACTTAATGTACTTTTATTATGATTTTTTTTTGCTCAGATACGCCATATATATAGCTTTAGCTGCTTACGTATCATTTTGCAAAAAATCATTTGTCACATTGAAGGGTAAATATAGCATAGTTATTTCCCCAGGATTCTGACCACAAAAACACATGTATAGCTTTTACATTAAAAATATTAAATTCATCCTTGAAAATGACATTATAACATAACATATATATTAAAAACAACAATTATATACAAATTGCAAGAACATTGTTCACAACTTTAAGAATAATACAAGATTCTATCTTTTTATGGGGACAATGAACTTAATGCGGACATATTTTATACAGATTACAAGAACATTATTCCCAGCTTTAAGAAAAATACAAAGGTTTTATCTTTTTATGGGGACAATGAACATAATAAAACTGTTTTGATACCAAATGGCAATGTACATGAAAAAAAACTTACTGAAAATAGTTGGAACAAAATTGTATAAAAAATCTCGAAAACATCATAATAAGTTATATATTAAGTATAATGAATATGTTAACTGCATACACAGGAAAAAGTGGCTTACATGATATTCATGTGATTATCTTTTAGTTTGAAAATTATGTGAAAATAATATGAAATTTATATAAATATAGTTTTATGTGAATATAATGTGAATAGAAGTTTGTATGATATTCACATAAATCTTTTTTTCATGTGAAGTTTTCTTTGCATGATATTTATGCGATATGCTCTTGATGTGAAATTTATGTCAAAATCACATGAAGTTTTCATATTAATTTCACATGGCTTGTTTTTCGTGTCTTTTTCATGCAATGAATTCACATAAAATTTATGTGAACCACTTTTGCCTGTGTAGTACTTAAAAAAATCAGCCGAAGTTTCACAATAATGATAATCAATGAGACGAAAAATTGTAATGATTAATAAGCATGATTACAGAAAGGAAGAATTTGATCATATAAAAAGTTTACAGTTTTAAAATTTTCTTCTTATTTATATTTTTGCATTAAAAAACCCAAAATAGGTATTAAAATATTTACCAATCCTCATATCTTGTTTTTATCATCTGTGTATAAATAGATTTATGATTTATAGTTTTTAAAGACATTTAAAAATGTGTATCACATTCACGTGTATTTGCATGTTTCCCGACTCTATGTGTGATTCAATAACTTAGAATGAATCTTCTGTACCATTACAACATCCTGATGTTTCAACAAGCATGGTTTTCGCTGCACCATTGTTGTCGATTGGTACATGTACTCCTACAGTACATGATGTAACTGAAAAAAGGAATCCACTATCTATCAATTTCAAAATAATATCCAAATCGATAAAACATTGTCATTGAATTATTCTTTAAATTTTTAACAACGCTTGATATTTGTAGAATAAAAGTATACAGTTGTACCTGATACTAGTACTTCTTGTGATGCTTGTCTGGAATTCTTGGAATTCTGTTTGAAGTAAAGGATGATGAATAAGACTGATACTAGTACTGCTATTGCTATATAAGATATAGCAATATAGGAGCAACCTTCACATCTGTAAAGAATCAAAATAATAAACTGTACTTGAGTGACATACGATCCATCCTCAATGAAGCCTTTCTTTGTGTACTGTAAAAATCCGAGAGTTGACCCAGAAGTAATGCCAGGACTTCGATAAAATATTTTATATTCCAATGTTTTCAAGAAAATATGATGTATAAATATCCTTATCTTTGTCTTTTCTCTAAATTTTCATTCCAATATATGAAATACTTTTTAAAACATTAATATAAAGTTATAAACACAGCGTTAGATAGTGTCTATCGACGCACGGCCAGAATTATACCAAAGCCATTATATGACATTACTTTTCGACATTCATTTTCATTTGTCATGCATATCTTTTAATTTTCACATGTATTTCATCTTTCATATTCTTTAATGCCACTTTGCTATAAATCGTCTTGCTTAGAGTTGTAGTTTTGAAGTTATTTAAACTTTGTCAAAATGTTTATCCAAATTTAAAATTCATGTATTCCTTTTTGCGTTTATCCTATTCATCATCAGACTCAAAATTAGTGTCCGAGAACGTCATAACACTGTTGTCATATCCTTGCCATGCGTGGATGGACACGACCTAATGTTACGTTTATTCCAATATTTGATAAAAATATTGCACGTAACTGAATGAAATTTTAGAACAAAAGTCATTATAAATGGAGGTAATAGTATAATTATTTAAAAATTTTGATGTAACTTTCGAGTATCAAATATTTCATAGCAGTTGTGACATTATTTTTGGATCAAAAGGTTATGACATTTTATTTCTAAGTCATAAATATTACATATACTTCAGTCTTGCATTAAACCAGCTATAAATACCTTGAAGATTGAAAATGTTGTCGTTCTTTGCGGATGGTTCCATTTTCCTGCAAATGTATTGTTTCGTTGATATCGGATAGAGAGAAATCCTTCTCATCTTGGGTAATGTTATTAACATATGTGGTTGAGGTCTTAGGATCTTTCGTATCACTGTCCTTGTCCTTGCTTTGTCTTAACCCCTTGTAACACACAGACCCATCTAATTTGAATAAAAGGAATTGCAATCTATTACAATCTTGAGCATGTTGAGTACAATAATTCAATTTCTTTTTTATATTTCATGTTTCAGTCTTTTGGGTTTTTTTTTTTGTTTTTGTTTTTTTTTGTTTTTTGTTAAATGCTAGTAAATTTGATTTATTGATTTGTCCGAAAGAGAAAAGTTTTTCCAATAGCAATCGTCAATTTAAGAAATTAACAATTTTTAAACCTTCTCACAAATAGGTCATGATAACTTATTTTTTCTAGTTTCTAAATTTTCAATCTATTTTCTCATCAAAAGCGATTTATTTACCGCCTTTATTGTTTTAATAATTTCTATTTTCTGATAAATTATCGTATCAAATAAACTGTATCGATGCATATTATTAAAATGATTTTTTATTCAGAAAATTACTGTTTTTATCTTTAACAATGCTTAGGAATATACTGATATACCTTCGTCCTATACACCGATTCTTAACACTGATTTCACTTTTCAGATGCATATGAAAACTCACATTTATACGAGGCCGTGGAGTTGTAAACAAATGGACAAGTCCCCATGCAGCTTTTCTGTTTTTGTGGTTGAATTCCTCCCAGGCCATCATTGTATTCAGCACAAAATTCTACAAAAAATTCAGATGTAAGTGTTAAATTGTAAGAAGAGCGCTTAAAAAAAGAAAAAGGCAAAAAGAAGACTTTTATAAACCATAATCGAAATTAACTTTTTTTTTCAATGATCAATATAACATATGATAACTATACAAAACACTCCATTTCCTTACCACCGATTATCTTGGTCACTGGTGAACATACTTCAACAAAGCCTGTTCCACGGTCATTGAGCACACAATGGTATTCTAATTGTTCACCAAAGGAACTGGAAAAATCTTGACAGTGTTTAATTTTTGCTCGTTTTATTATGTATTCTTTTGTCGTAGGGCACATTGACACATTTCTAGCAGACTCTTGAATTCCTTTATATTTTTTAGCGGGTACCTTTTGGCAGAAAAAAAATATTAATGATCAGTATATATTAATAAAAGCAATATGAAAGATACAGAAAGCCCAGTAACATATAATATTTAATGAGGTTATTTTCTTCCTTTTCTTTATTTTGTTTTACAATTTTTTTTATAAGTTTACTCCTGTAGCTGATGGTAATAGCATCATAAACATAAAGGCACAGCATAGTGTTTGCCAAATCACTGGTTTAATTTTTCCTCCTTTGAAGAAGTAATAAAGAAGTGGCAACTCTGAAAGTATTACAAAAGTTAATATTATGAGGACTTAGTTTATATTATTAGTGCTTCATTTTAATCAAATTGGAAATGCTTACACATTGAATAAAACATGTTTCTTGCGTTGCTGCTTAAGCTATTTACATATTCAAGTTAGAGTAGTAAAGACATTTTAATCCTTTTTTTTTTTTGCATTTTCAGTTTTTAAAAAGAAATATGTAACTATACCCAAGTCAGTTTCTCTGGGTGTATCATAGTTGTTTATAATTGAAGACGTTTCTGTGGTGTGATTCTCAAACATTTTTGCAGGTTTACTGAGTGATGGTCTGGCATATGGTGTATTCATCTCCCTTTTCTTTTCCTTTCTGGACTTCCCATAACCAGTTGATGTATCGTTTTTACATATGGTAACTTTCTTTGTCAGACCTTTGATTTCATCATCTCTTCCTTTGAGGTCATGATCTTTTCTCTGTTTCGGTCTCCTGTTAGGAGGTCTTATGGCAATCTTTAATGTGTACTCCAAACTTTTCTTTGCTTCTCGGGGAATATGGCATTCGTTCAAAGGAAGGTTGTTTTCTCCAAATGTGTACTGCAATCCTTGGCACTTTTTCAGATGTATCATGGATGGCAAGTTTTTCTTTTTGCAGACAGGTGCTAGTAATGTTTTCAATGTTCCCTCAAAATTTTTAGTTTCAAATTTCTCGTTTAACTTTTCAGCATTGGCGTTTTTGATAGGTATTAAGGAAATACTAAAGAGCTTTTCTGGCATCATTAAAATTTCCTCTACAATGTGCATTTCTCTGTATTCCCGAGTCTGGCAACATCCCCGGCTGTCGATGCAACAAATAATTTCTGTTTCTAGTCCAGAGTTAGTGAATTTATGGCGAACTAACTCTGAAAATCCATGAGAACATTTGTGAACAAGTAATAAGTTGATATTGGACATGTTGGAGTCAGATAGAGAGAAAATATGCTAGTTTTTATCCCCAAGAAACTGAATGGTGTACTAGTAAATATAGCATATCAAGAGAGAAAACAGAGGAATTACAACCGTGGATCATATTATGATGGATGTAATATTAACTCTCTAATAAACAATCGGAAAATATTTTAATATTTCCTATCTTTGAGTACTATTAACTTTTAATTTGATCTGACAGAGACAGTATGATGAAATGTAGTTAGGTGTCTAATATTGAGACTTTATCGTTTGATCACTCGATGATACCACCTCATTTTTAACTAATTAGACATAGATAAGTACTAATTCATAAAAGGTCCATATACTAAAATTACTACCAATGTTGAAATTGATATCATGTTAAAGAATTTTTTCTTAAAAAAAAAAATCACATTTTGTGTTTAATATCTTTACCATTGCAGGTTAAAGAATGCCAATAGCAATAATCACACTGTTTTCCTTGAGTGTTGAAAAATGTTGCTGTTCTGACATGATTTTGGACTTGAACATACATAACTTCTACTGTCCATTGGTTTTCAACTGAAATATACAAAAGGTGTTCTGTACAAATTATTCCTTATACTTATATAAATGTTATAGTAATAATATTTGAATTCAAAGAATAATAGTGCTTTCTTTTTTATAAAAAAAGATATGTACAAATTGTTTGTCGTCCATGCCAGTAATCCTTTTGCAAAAAACAAATGGTACGATTCTTGTAGAGATAAACTACAGTTATGATGCGCCATTTGACCAAGAATTGTTGTTGAAATTCCAGGAAGGCAGCCACTGTTCCACTTCGGATTGCTGAATCTGTATATAAAACAAACATAATATAATAAAAATTAAACTATCATTTGCATTGAAACATGTTATTAAAAAATCATACATACACTGATCTATAAACACGGAAAGGGGAGCTGAATGATGTATGTTACACCTGAAAAGGTACTTGTAGTCTCCAACTATTGATCGTATTTTTTATGGGAACATCCTGAAGTTTACATTTTAATTAACAATTTTATTTATTGATTCCAGAAAATTTTATTTTGCTACTTTAAAAAATAAGGAATTTGCCGAATGTGTTTTGTGTCCCTTTTCCATGAATGCCACAATGTGTAATAAATGTTAGCATCCTGAGATTATATTGATTTTTTTCGTCAGTGAAAGTAAATAATTTGTATTTATACTCAATCTCTTGAAGGTCATTGCTATAAGAGTTTGTTTAATGTTTAAATAATGACCAGAATGTAATAGTTTCCATGGGAATGGTACCCATTTTATAGACAAATATGATATATCTGAACATACCCTTTCTATATCTGTTCTCCTTGATCTCTCTTCCAAAAACCTGATGTTGAACCTGGTATATATTGCAAATAAATTTACATATTACCATTGAATGGTCCATATCTAAGTGTTGCTAAGTCCGTGGTGTTTAGACGAAATTCCTTGATCATGCAATCCGAAGTCTCGACAAAAGTGATTTCTGGTTTCTTGATAGTAGGTAAATCACATCTTGTTGAAAGGATGTATGTCCCAATGTCATCTAAAAGATATACAAACATGTATAGAATAAAAATGCACGTTAACTTTTCTGTTAAATAACCATTTTCTCTAATCAATCAATCGATGCATAACTGTATATATTTTTTCATTTAACAATAATAGGTAAATTTGGTTAATATTTTCTCATTTTAATTGTTGAAAACATTCTTTATTATTCTTTAATAAACTAACATGTTCCAGTGGTCAGAAGCTTTGCATTTTGTGCTACATGAAGGCTGTTTGGGAGCCTTTGTAATTTTCTTTTCATTACGTGTATTGTTCTATGTACTGCATCTGCAGAAGTCTTGAAACAAGAGACAAAATACCCTTGGAAAAGAATTTGATCTTTGCCGATTCCATTTTCTACAATGAAGATATATTAGAGATATAAGATAAGATAAGATAAGATAAGATAAGATAAGATAAGATAAGATAAGATATTCTTTATTTCCTCCAAATTAATGGAGAGTTTGTATGAATTAACAGATAATTAACTAATTAACAACAAAAATTGCAAAAAAGAAAACATATATATATATGTACAATTTTCTGCTAGGACATTACAGGTTTCGACAGTCTATGGCAAACAGACTTTTGTTTTTATAAACTGTTGAGGCAACTATTATCATTATGCATTTCCATTTTGTGAATGATATGTTTTCAAAACATGTGCCTTGAACACACCCCATTAAAGATAAAAACTGTAGTTCAGGATCTTGATCCTCAAACAAAACATACTCATTTACATCAAGTATATCTAAAATGTCCTCAAACATATTTTCTCTGTCGTCTAATAGTGTAAAGCAACTTAACATCAAGTGCATATTATAGTTACTTGTTAGCTTATTACAAAATTGACAAAATTTACAAACAATTTTCATCGATGAAACCTGAATCAAAAAATTGATTAATAATCTTTTTGAGGGATCTTCTCTAGCAATCTGCCACAATTTATTTGGGTTCAACATAGTATGTATTTTACTGAAAAAAGACATATCAGGATCTACAGACAGAGCAGCACGCCATTGATTTTCCTCTGCTGTCCATATTGTTTTGATAATCATTCTTGAAAATTCCTTTTTACTGTATAGAATGCTACAATTGTTTTCAAACATATCTAAGAGATTGTATTTGCTAGCCGTTTGTAACATGTTTTTGGTTACAAAAAATTTTTCAGATACATGAATATCAGAAATAAACTTATAGATCTGATAATGTACAGAGTTTTGTTCTGACCTATGGAGTCTACCAAGGAAAAGTAGGCGACATTTATCAATGTAGCCCTGTATGGTCCACAGTCCAATATTCGATATGCTTGAAAGCGATGGAGAAAACTTTGAGAATCCTTGAATAATCCTGGCGAAGTGTCTTTGAACATATTCAAGTTGTTGCATGTCTGTTAGTGGTAATAAAGGCCATATCTCGCAAGAGTAGAGGGCAGACGGTAGCACGACCCGTTTCCATATTTTTGCGGATACAACGGGATGAATATCAGAGTTATTAACACCAATAGAATATAAAGAGTGGTACAATGAAGATATATTAGAGATATATATTTTTTGGTTTTTTGTTAGACATTTGATAGTTAAAAAGATATTCAAATGTACTGTATGCAGCCCTTGAAGATACCTGCAATGGTAGAAATCACGAAATACATAAACCCTTCTGATCGAGCAGCAAGAACCGAGTTTGTTTCCCCCTTCTCAGAAAAAGTGGAAACTGTAAAACAAGATGCTACATGAGAAATACGTCGATTTTTTTAAATTTATCATTTATCACCCATTAATGAAAAATTTAAAAATAAATTACCTTTTTCCCCCTGTAGAACATAATTGTGCCTAAATTCTACACAGAGAAAGCAAAATAAAAATCAGGGATTTAATATTAGCCACTGTATATCTTATTTTGTTAGGTTAACTTAGTTTAGTAACTAATTGAAGACTCAAAAGCTCTGTTGTTATTGTACGAATTACACATGTATTCCTCTGTTACTCGACATTTTTACTCACAGACTTAAATTACTGTATGTAATATTATTATCAGTTATTGGAATACCCATAAATTAATTTATTCGACAAATACAACAATCTCATTTCTCCAAATTTATATTTATTGGAGTATGATTTGGTATTTCTTTTCCATGTAAATTATTTATTTTTGTAAGGCGCTTGGTTTGAACAAAATTTATTACACTGTATATATATATATATATATATATATATATATATATATATATATATATATATATATATATATATATATATATATATATATAAAGCACTAAAAATGACCAACGAAAAAGTCATAAGAACAAGGGAAAAAGAGACACAAAAACAACTAGCACTACTACTAAACTACTAAACACTATATATTTACAAACTTAGTTACTTAGTTGCTTAACTTATAAACTTAGTTGAATTGGAAATTTTTACGAACCCTATTCATGAAAGAAAACCGGTCTGCTATGAATTACGTCCGGTCTATCGGGTATACTCGGGTGAAGTGCGATTTACATAATTGAACGAATTAATTATGCTAATTAATTACGACAATCAGTAAATCGTACATTGTTTCATTCTCTCAAAATGGCGTAACTATACTTGATAAAGAATAATCAAAGAAAAATGATATAGCAAGGATATTTTAAAATATGAATTATGATCTATAATAAATTTTGAAATATTTTAGGACTTGTTATCGGAAAAAATAATTAACAAAGGCGTAAGCAATTCATAGTTAAGTGGGTTGTTCGAGAGTTGGTGACGCAAATTAACTGTAGAGTTTACACTAAATTGAGAGAATAATCTTGTTTAGTATCTTCAGGAATTGGGTCTAGTTTACGTTCATTCTGGTGAAGTCATTCAGTTTGTTAATACCATTAGGGCGGAATGACTTCAATCTGTGCATCCAGAACTTTTCTTTGCTTTTTCTCTGAGCGTCTGTCCATCTTGGGTTATGGTCAATCACCAATACTGTCATGTCCTCCCATTTGTGACCCTCGAGGTTGAAATGTTCCCCAACGGGTTCATTGAGTTTTTTGGTCCTAATGGTCGAACGGTGGTTATTGACTCTCCTGCGGAGATCTCCTGTTTCACCAATATACTGTTTGGAGCAAACTTTGCAACTGATGAGATAATTGCAGTTGTCAGTATGACAGGACAAATTCCTTAGTATTTTGTAGCTGCGGCCTGTAACAGGGCTGTTAAAACTGTCTGTGTCAGGTGCTGTGCTTACAAAGAAGACATCTTCTGTCAGAGCAAGTTTTAAAGGCCCCGTTAGGTAATGGGTTGTCCAGTCTGGTTCTTACTACCATGTCCTTCAGGTTCCTTGGGCGTCTGTATGCAGCCAATGGGGGTTCCTTAAAGACCTCTGCCATTCGTTTGTTTGAATGGAGAATTGGTAGGTTCTTTTGAAGGATACCGCTAAGGTTCTTAAGGACGGGATGGTATGTGGTTAGCAGAGGGACCCTGCCGCTATTGTCTTTCTCCTTGTAGCGTAATAGGTTTTGCCTGTCATGTCCCGCCATCTCGTCAATAGCTGTTTGTATGGTGCGGGCATTGTAGCCTCTTTTGCACAAGTGGGACTTCAGAAGACCACTTTGCTCCTGATATAAGGCAGGAGAAGAACAGATGCGTCGAATTCTGGTGGCTAGACCCTTAGGCACTCCCTTAAAAGTGTGTGGGGGATGACAGCTAGTAGGCATAAGATATAGGTGGGAGTCTGTGGGTTTGGTGTGGAGACTGAATTCCATTTCACCATCAATCAGGGTAGATGTAGTATCTAGGAATACGTTTTTCGAATTAGATACGTCTACTGTAAATTTGATCGACTGATGAAAGGTGTTGGCAAACGTAATGAATGCCTCGAGGGTCTCGCGACATTCCACCCACTTCATCTCTATATCGTCAATGAAACGCAACCAGCTATGGGGCCTAAATGGTGCTTGAAGTAACAAGTTGCGTTCCATTCTGCCCATGAAGACATTGGCATAAGACGGTGCCATTTTCGTACCCATAGCAGTGCCATTAACCTGCAGGTAATGTTCTCCATTAAACATGAAGTTGTTGAACTTGAGAACATGTTCAAGGAGCATAGCAAGGGACTCGGTAGAAGGAATTTGTATGGATCTACTATCCCAGACTTCCCTACAGGCTTCGATACCCTCGTCGTGCGGAATATTGGTGTACAAAGATGTGACGTCCATAGTCACGAGGAGGGTATGATCAGGGAGGCCAGTAGAGGGCGTCTTGTTAATGTAGTCCGTGGTGTCCTTGAGATAGGATGGCAAACTCTCTACGTGTGGACGGAGATGTAAATCAATGAATTCAGAAATTTTCTCCGTGGGGTGTCCAATTGCGCTGACAATTGTCCTGGTCTACAGTCAATAGGATTTAAGGTCTCATAGACGTTGATACCAATCTCATCTTTCTCAAACATATCGTCAAGAGTTTTGGTAATGGCGGTGGAGAATTCTTTAGTAGGGTCAGAGTCCAGTTTCTTATAGAAACATTTAAACTTCTAAAGGAAGAACACCAAAAATCAATAAAAACTGAACACCGGGTCTCCAGTTTACAGACCTACTTAGAGTGTGACATTATACCGAAAGGCTTTCAGATAAGTGTTACACCTAACATAGGGCCAATCTCCAAACGCTTTCAGGAACGCTGGGACGTTATTACAAAGAGATGTTCTAAACAATTGATGTCACTCTGTCTTTCTTGGGATATCCACAAGTTAGGACAATTGAAGAGTGAGATCAAGTCCTTAGAATCATCCCTCAACGATATCATATCCCAGGCCGATCTTGATGAAGCCCATAATATTATAGACACCTATAATATGGCCCTAACAAATAAAGTCAACAAGACTCAAAAAAAGAAATTTCTCCGCGACAGTGTTCCACAGTCTAGGAACAACTGGTCAGAGGTCAGTTAACAAAACACGTAAACCCCACTCGAGACGCTTTAAACGCATTAAGACAATCGCGAGGGACGGACCCATACAAACTCTTGACGTCTGCCCAGTGCTCAGTACATCTAGTGCTCCTCTCTCCGAATCGGAGACCTCACTTCTTTCCAAGGGGCTAAATTTCTGCCCCACGCCACATGAGGTCGACGAAAAACAAGTCAGAGAGGACACCCAAGCATTCTTCCGGAGACTTCGTTTGAAGGAGCACTACTCTAGAAAAGACTCCGAAGTAAATTCATACGACTCTTCCAAGCCAGATTTACACGACCTAGAGGAACACAAACTCTATAAGCCCAAGAGTGACTGGGAACCTGCACCGGGCAAATGCGGCGCGCTTGAGTCGTATATTGACGCCGTTGAGTCAGACATAGAGAAGCTCCTTTCAATGCCAGACAAGACTCCCCACAATTTGAGTAATGAAGAGAGATCTGCCTTACAATCATTAAAAAATCGGGATGACATTGTAATCAAGAAAGCAGACAAAGGATCTACAGTTGTAGTAATGGATAAAGTGACTTACATGGCGGAGGCCCAAAGAAAACTCTCAGACGAACGTTTCTATAAGAAACTGGACTCTGACCCTACTAAAGAATTCTCCACCGCCATTACCAAAACTCTTGACGATATGTTTGAGAAAGATGAGATTGGTATCAAAGTCTATGAGACCTTAAATCCTATTGACTGTAGACCAGGACAATTCTATCTGCTTCCTAAAATACACAAAGAAGGCATGCCAGGTCGCCCCATTGTCAGCGCAATTGGACACCCCACGGAGAAAATTTCTGAATTCATTGATTTACATCTCCGTCCACACGTAGAGAGTTTGCCATCCTATCTCAAGGACACCACGGACTACATTAACAAGACGCCCTCTACTGGCCTCCCTGATCATACCCTCCTCGTGACTATGGACGTCACATCTTTGTACACCAATATTCCGCACGATGAGGGTATCGAAGCCTGTAGGGAAGTCTGGGATAGTAGATCCATACAAATTCCATCTACCGAGTCCTTTGCTAAGCTCCTTGAACATGTTCTCAAGTTCAACAACTTCATGTTTAATGGAGAACATTACCTGCAGGTTAATGGCACTGCTATGGGTACGAAAATGGCACCGTCTTATGCCAATGTCTTCATGGGCAGAATGGAACGCAACTTGTTACTTCAAGCACCATTTAGGCCCCATAGCTGGTTGCGTTTCATTGACGATATAGAGATGAAGTGAGTGGAATGTCGCGAGACCCTCGAGGCATTCATTACGTTTGCCAACACCTTTCATCAGTCGATCAAATTTACAGTAGACGTATCTAATTCGAAAAACGTATTCCTAGATACTACATCTACCCTGATTGATGGTGAAATGGAATTCAGTCTCCACACCAAACCCACAGACTCCCACCTATATCTTATGCCTACTAGCTGTCATCCCCCACACACTTTCAAGGGAATGCCTAAGGGTCTAGCCACCAGAATTCGACGCATCTGTTCTTCCCCTGCCTTATATCAGGAGCAAAGTGGTCTTCTGAAGTCCCACTTGTGCAAAAGAGGCTACAATGCCCGCACCATACAAACAGCTATTGACGAGATGGCGGGACATGACAGGCAAAACCTATTACGCTACAAGGAGAAAGACAATAGCGGCAGGGTCCCTCTGCTAACCACATACCATCCCGTCCTTAAGAACCTTAGCGGTATCCTTCAAAAGAACCTACCAATTCTCCATTCAAACAAACGAATGGCAGAGGTCTTTAAGGAACCCCCATTGGCTGCATACAGACGCCCAAGGAACCTGAAGGACATGGTAGTAAGAACCAGACTGGACAACCCATTACCTAACGGGGGCTTTAAAACTTGCTCTGACAGAAGATGTCTTCTTTGTAAGCACAGCACTGACACAGACAGTTTTAACAGCCCTGTTACAGGCTGCAGCTACAAAATACTAAGGAATTTGTCCTGTCATACTGACAACTGCATTTATCTCATCAGTTGCAAAGTTTGCTCCAAACAGTATATTGGTGAAACAGGAGATCTCCGCAGGAGAGTCAATAACCACCGTTCGACCATTAGGACCAAAAAACTCAATGAACCCGTTGGGGAACATTTCAACCTCGAGGGTCACAAATGGGAGGACATGACAGTATTGGTGATTGACCATAACCCAAGATGGACAGACGCTCAGAGAAAAACAAAGAAAAGTTCTGGATGCACAGATTGAAGTCATTCCGCCCTAATGGTATTAACAAACTGAATGACTTCACCAGAATGAACGTAAACTAGACCCAATTCCTGAAGATACTAAACAAGATTATTCTCTCAATTTAGTGTAAACTCTACAGTTAATTTGCGTCACCAATTCTCGAACAACCTACTTAATTATGTATTGCTTACTCTTTTGTGAATTATTTTTTCCCGTTAATTAGTCCTAAAACATTTCAAAATTTATAATTTATCATAATCCATATGTTAAAATATCCCTGCTATATAATTTTTCTTAGGTTATTCTTCATCAAGTATAGTTACGCCATTTTGAGAGAATGATACAATGTACGATTTACTGATCGTCGTAATTAATTAGCATAATTAATTCGTTCAATTATGTAAATCGCACTTCTCCCGATTATACCCGATAGACCGGACGTATTTCATAGCGGTCCGGTTTTCTTTCTATAATAGTGTTCGTAAAAATTTCCAATTCAACATGTAACTAAGTTTGTAAATATATAGTGTTTAGTAGTTTAGTAGTAGTGCTAGTTGTTTTTGTTTCTCTTTTTCCTTTGTTCTTATGACTTTTTAACTTTTTTCTTTGTCCTGAGGAAGGGACAGGGCGTCCCGAAAATTTGACAATTTTTATTGTTCGTGTCGTTGGTTATTTTTAGTGCTTTATATAAATTTCCATCCGTGACCTTGTATCTACTTGGTAGATCCGACATTTAGGATATACATTGTTGTTGGTTTTTTAGTGCTTTATATATATATATATATATATATATATATATATATATATATATATATATATATATATATATATATATATATATATATATATACACACACACAATCGGATTGGGCACAAGTTCTAAAAACATAAAGAGGCTGGGGGGGGGGTGGCAGCTATTTTCAGACTATTTCGATCTCCTTTTAAAGAAGAGCTCCATATAAAGATATAGAAAATGATCAAATTTCAAAGCTAAAATTTTTGAAATTTTTCCTTGCCTTATGATAGTTGACCACTTAAGATACCATATCTAAAAAACTAAGTAAAATCCGGTGGCTAATTTGTGATTAATTTATTGACCCCCAGCCTCCTTAAATCGCCCTCTCCCTATAGCGAACGCTATTTCTCTCTTACATTGTATGGAAATCGCCAAACATTTCATACAAAGAAAACATACCCTCTTCTACTGCAACTGCTTCATCCTGGCTCCCACTATCATCCTAAAAGAGTCCTTCATTATATTACATTACTAATAAGCTTTTTACTGTTTTATTCTTATATTGATTTTAATGATAAGTATACCGGCATGATAGAAACTCCCCACAGACCCAATTAATGTAAATATTGCTCTAATGATTCTGCAAACACCATCATCTTTAAAAATATAATATTGGAAATGTTTCATATATTATCTATACATTGTTTTAAATGTTAATACTTACAATTGTCTCTTTGGGCCACTGTGCTTGAATTGTTGAAATTTCAAAATCCCAAAAGTCTGAAAAAGAATTTTTTAAAAAATGAAGAAAAAAATCACTGAACTAAGATACAATACATATAGCAAATTTGTTTGAAATTTGGCCATTTGTTCTCATGAAGATATCGAAAACTTAAAAGTTTGCAGTCAGACGCCGGACAAAATGTGAACAGAAAAGCACACTTGACCTTCAGGTTAAAAAGAATGAATAAATATGTTACATGTATTTAACATGCTAATTTGGTCTAATTTCTAATGAATCCTTACAAATTACTTTAAAATGTTTCAGTAAAATGCCCAGTTGCTAGTATATTCTCTACTGATCTTTTCTTAAAGATTAACATCGGTATTATTAAAAAAAAAATTGTATCGTTTATGTTTAAAACATTTGGCTTTTGCTTAGTTCACATGTTAAATACTTTCCTAAAGTAAATAGACTGACCTAAGTCTGAACCAAACATATCCATGGAAGCAATTCTCTCATCTTCTTCATTATCGTACGTTTGAGTTCCCTGTATATAACAAAACAATTACAAACATTCACAAGAAAAAAATCATTGAAAACTTGAAGCAAAGGATATACCGGTATTCTTCATGTGAAATATCTTCATTTGAGTTTTTTTAAAATGCTTTCTATGTAATTAGGAAGGATATACTTTGAATCTTCAAAGCACATTCAAAATTATATAAAAGATATATTGCATACTTAAAATTGTTCATAATTCTGGTTTTAGAATTAATCTTTTTAAATTTCTAAATATACTTTTTATAATGAAACTTACCGCATTGCTTATTTGCACCTTTGGTGGAATCCAAATGTCTCCAACTGCAACATCAGATATAAAAGGTCATATAAAAGCTATAACCTCATTCTTTATAAAAGGGAAAATATCAAATAATGGATGATCGATTATCTGAAAATGTGTTTCTTTCAATAATAAACAATCGATTTAAGGTCTTTTTTTGTGCATCGAAACCACGTTAAATATGGCGGACACAAATACGGTAATAATAAACCTGCTTTGACAATTCAGGATACTTTTTGAACCCCCTTATTATGAGGTGTGACATTGATTGCTAATTTGCATGTAGAATGATATTTATTTTGTTTCTTCTCGGTTTTACATTTGCTTCTAAAACAATCAAAGGAATTATTTAAACTGGTTGATTGTAGTGTTGTATACGAGATGTAAATAGTGAAGTATAGGAAAACAAAATTAGTCACGTACTCTACATTGAAAAAAGTTTATTATTAAGAGTAGTGTCATTGACACTTTGTTTAAGTACCTTTCAGGCGGATCATCAGGACCCGTAAACTCAATAACGAAATTTTCAGTAAACAAGTAAACAGATTTATTTGAAATAAAGAACACTGCATTGAAGATGTAAATGCAAAAGAAATTGAAAATTGCCCTGGTGAAACAATTTTATAAAGGGATGATAATATATACATCATTTTCCTCGAAAGGGTAAAAAAGAAGTCGAATTTCGTTTTAGCAGACCTATCTTCATATGAAGAAGTTTTTAAACATCTACTAAATAAAGAAGTCTCGTGATTTGGCCTTCAGTTCATCATTTAGATATTTTGATAACGTTTGAGTAAATTAACCATTAATTTTGAAGTTAGTGAACAGTAATTGAGCTCGAAAGTCCATTATTGAAAGAATACAATTTGGAGCAATACAAACGCCATCATCTCCAAGCTAAGAGGACGAATCAAATGCTTGGATTTGCTAAATCATAACAAGGAGAAATCGGCGGGTGAGATCGGTAGACAAGCAATGTTTACTCCTACTTGGCATCTTTTCCCACCTCTAATGTTTATCGTTATATAATCACACATAAAAAATATTTATAATTTAATTACCTTGTTTGACATTGCATTCACACAAATTTGATTTCTTTTCTCTGAACTTCTTATTCTTCCAACGAGACAAAGAGAAGACTGCATGGAAGATTTTCTGTCAGATAGATATATCTAAATTTGATTTTCTGCTTATTTTCCTAAAATACGATATTTTCAAATTGAGAGAGAGAGAGAGAGAGAGAAAGAGAGAGATTCTTTGCAAATAATAATGTTCAAATTTTTAACATCTATTCATTTAAGAAAAAAAATACGTCACCCATTTCAACTCTCTTCTTTCGGTTTGAATGATAATATTGCGTAGTAAATTTCTATCTAATATAAACTACTATAAAGAGCTAAATAAATCCTTACCAGTACATTTATAACAATGTTTACATTGTTCCAAACCAGAATTTCCATATATTCCTGTAAATGCAGCATCTTTGTAATTGTATATTAGTAAAAAGAAGCTTTATTTGAGGAAGAGCTCTCTTGGTCCGAATCTGTACCTTTATCAGCAGTACTAAATTTAGGTAAGGGGATTTTCTTTTTTCCTAATTTGAATAGAGATTTATGTTTTAATGCTTTTTATTACTAATATATAGAAATTAATCATGCATAATAATTTGCGACAATTAAATACAAAGTCGACTTATTTTTATAATTATTTATTTTATTATTAAATAATTCTTAACAATATTCTTGATTTATATGTTTCTAAATTTAGCGAATGCACAGAGGCCTTTTTATCTGCTGAGGTGTTATATATATCAAGAAACGTTTGTTCCTATTTGTCCCGAAGCGATGAAGGAACTTATTAGAAATAATTAATACATGAACGAGTTAAACAATTTAAAATTTTAAACACACACTGATACAGATATTCTTAATGCAAAAATTCCCCAAAATCTATTTTTAAATCATTGAAAATTTCTAGACGGGACATATAGATTTTTATAATGATTTAATTATATATAAAAAGTGTTATTTTTCTAGCTTTGTTTTGTTTCTTTTTTAAAAGTAGGTATGCGCTTTAATATATTTTACATTAGTTAAAGGAGACTAATTTTACATTCACCATCCTTAAGCGGTATAAGAAACGAAAGTTAAATTTAGTGCTATTTTTAGAATGCGATTGCCCCAGGTAAATAAAAAATATTTATACACTTTTATGAACATAAGGAGGTCGGATACTGATATTTAAAATCCTAAAAAAAAATTTCCACCATATTGCTAGTACATACACACATAGTTTGATTCAAAATCAAAAGTATGTGGGTCAAACATTACTTTGTTTCGCACAGTACATCAAATAAGACCTGTTTGAATATAAACATCGCATTATTAAAGATTTTCCTTCATTTTTTCATCGAAATAAATATACTATAGCTCTATTTTTAAAAGACACTTTAAAATTTTGACAAAAGAGAAGATTTAGTTAAAGTGTTTCTCACAATCAATTATTTCACCATTCTGCAATGAAAAAAAATAACAGGCAAATAAAAAGTTTTATCAACGTCTTTAGCTTTTGTTGAATTAAAAAAAGCCAAAATATCAAAGTTATCTTACATTTTATATTCAGAATAGTAAATCAAAAGTTGGGGTTCTATATGATATACGTTTTTAGACATCACAAAAAGTGTTGATTTTTAACGTTATAATTGGCACATATTTTCATAGACTTTCAGAATATTTTTAATTTATTTGACACAGTCTGATGAAAAAAAAAACATAAAATAATTTAATAAATATTTCAGAAGAACTATCAAATATTTCACTGCAAAGAATAGCTCTCTGGAAAAAATATCAGAATTCTAAAAACTTCAAAAGGGAAAAAAGATTATTTTCTTCTCAAAACCCCTCTCTTAAAAAAAGTTCCTGACTTTATCCAACTTATATAAAATTTTATTACGAATTTTTCATTGAATATGTTTTGATTTGCGTTGTAGAATCCAAATCAAATGTATGGACGTAAATATGACGCACAGCAGA